CGCACGCACGCACGCACGCACGCACAAAGGATACATAGATGACAAAGAAGCATGTGAGAAGATGTTCCACATTGCATCACCAGGGAAACAAATATTGAAACAACAAAATACCACACCCATTAAAACGATCAAAATCCAGTATGGAGAATGTGGAGGAATGAGTGTGCCCCTGCTGTTGGGAATGCAGAATGTGCAAACCCTGTGGAAGAGAGTCAGTTTGGGAAAGCATCAGCTGCACAAGCATCCTGAGTGAGTTTGGATCTCTGACACCCACATAAATGCTGGGCATGGCAGTGTGCCTGTCTGTAACCCTAGTCTTGGTAGTGGAGGGAATCTCCCCAGAGCTCACTAGCCAGCTACTCTAGCTCATCAGTGAGCTCCAGGCTCTGGGAGAGACACTGACGCAAAAAAAAAAAAAAGCAAGGCGGTGGGGAGGGAAGAGCACAAGTTATCCCATCTAGTGTTGACCTAAGACCCATGTGCACACACACCACACACACAGAGAGTGAGAACATGTACACACAAATGCATATTCACTCATGCACACACACAAATACATATAGACACCACACAAATATATACACACAAAACCCACTAAATCCATTTTAACACATGACCCAAGAATCATATTCCCTGGTAACTGACCAAAAGATGTTGAACTTTTCTGTTCAATATATATGGAAATTTATAGCAGTATTCTTCCTAATTGCCAACATTTACATTGCCAACATTTATATGTAATTGGATCTGTTATCCCACAGTAAATGAATGAATACATTGCAATATATCCAAACAGCAGAATATTACTTAACACTAAAAAAAGAGCTATTAAGCCATGAAGGACATGTGAAGAAAACTTAAGTACATGTTTTTAAGTCAAAGAGGCCAATATGGAAATGTCAGACACTGTAAGATTTCACCTGGGTGGCATCATGTAATAAGAGCCCAATGAAGGCAGGGAGGGAAGGATCAGTGGCCGCAGAGAGAGGAGTCAAAGACAATGAAAGCAATCAGTTTGATTGTATAAAAGTAGACACACCATGTTGTGCACCCCTTGTGGGAGGGGGTGAGAAGACCCAGCACCAATGACTCAGGTACTGGGAGTGAGGGAGTAGCAGAGGATGCTGCAGATGTGTTTATTCAGGAAGTTAGGCCAGCCTTTATTCCCCTCCCAAGGTCCTATTGGCTCAGGTGGCTGACTCTGAGCCCTCCTTATTGGTGTCTCTGGGGTCAGCAGTCCCCTCCTTATTGGTGTCTCTGGGGTCAGCAGTCTCTGGGTGTTGAGGCAGGCATGATGGCTTGACTCAGGGAGGAATTGTCTGCTGCACATGCTCATGGGGACTGGCCTGGGCACCTGGGCAGGGCAACTGCGGTTTGGGTAGGCTGGCTGCAGTTTCTCCTACAACGAACGCCTCACCACAGATTTGTCCAAACCTTCAGAATCTCTGGCACTCAGGGGGAGCCCTGACAAAGGTCTGGACTTCTGGGTAATCATGATGTCTCAGCATAGCTGGTCAATAGTTGATGCACAATCAGTGAGATGCTAGTAGTGGAGAAGGCTATGCCCGTGTCAGGGCAGAAGGTATTATGGGAAATTTCTATATCTGTTCAATTACTGTGAGTTTCAAACTGCTATAAAAAGTCAAGTGTGATCTTTAAAAAACATTAAACAGTGAAAGCGGTATAACTACTTAATGTTTGTAAAGCAAAAAGAATACTGATTCCACATCAACTTCTTGTCTTATTTTTCTTTGGGTTTTGGTTTCTTGAGACAGGTTCTAACACCATCCTAGCTGACCATGAACTTACGGTGTAAGCCAAAATGCCCTTAAACTCTGGATCCACCTGTCTCCACTCCAAAGGTGCTGGGATTCCAGACCCATGTCTATATCTGCCTCTGTATGGTTACTACTACTACTATTATTATTGAATGTTAGATACTTAGGGAATAGCAATTGTCTTTTATAGGGAGACCAAAGATTCTTTGATTTATTTTGGCCTCTCCCACTGACATTCTACAACAAGATAACAGAACTTCCCATATCTGTCCTCTGTGCATTTTTCTTCAGAGTCCCTGGTGTCAATGGGATCAAAAACAAGTGTGTAAAATTCTTATGTTCTAGAGACTATAGCTCCATCTATGCTATATACATTCACTAAAATTACCAGCGAGATCAGCCACATCTAGAATGACTTTAACAATGTGACCAAGAGGCCTGGAAACAACCTCAGGAACATCAAGCACCATCTCTTTGACTGTGTGGTGAAACACTTGAGGCTGCCAAATATCAGCACTTTATAGTGGCTTCCAAGACAACCTCTGATTAAAGCTCCAGCCAAGATAAAGAAAGCCATTCCCTTGCCTCACTTGGGATTACTGAGGCTGTTGGCACTTGCAGACAAAAGGAAATAAGACATCACAGCTATCTAGTTACACACCCGGCTTCTGCCTTGGAGAGCAACTACGAGGCTGGAAGCCCTGACTAGATTGTTCTTCAGGCAGTTGCATTGGATCCTCCTCTTCCTATGGACACGGGTGAACTCTATAGTGGGTTCAGTTTATATTTTGCTTACATAGCAGTCCTGAACTTAAACGCATACACACACACACACATACACACACACACACACACACACACACACACACACACACACACACCATACCAATCAAAAACAAGAGGACAGTGTGGGGAAACGGAAAATGGTTCAAGAACGGGTTCATGTGAGGATACTGAGTGCTTGTGGGAGAACAAGTCTGTGACCTCAGTTTCTTAAAAAACAAAAACAAAGCCACGGAACTGTACTTGGAATGTTTCTGTGCTCCTCCCAGGTGTAGCAGATGGGAGCGAATTCACTTCAAACTATTCGTTACAGCAGGCTGTCCTCATTTGTTTATATACCTCTATAGAAAAGCAGGTTTTTGCCTTGTACAGCTTGTCTTTGTAATTGTACACTTCATTCAGGTGACTCTTCTTAACCCTAAGGGTATAAACTGCCTGATGCTCAGAATAAGGTTAGCTATGACATGAGACTTTGGCCCACCTCATGTATCAGCTCAATTCTCCCAGGTCCCACCACTGCTGGAGCAGAAAACAGAGAAGAGGAAGCGCTCAGTGATATCATGTTACATGATATAATGTTACTAAATTATAATGAACAGCCAGGAGGGTAGGGTCCCCTCGACAATGTTGATGTCACCTCTGACAACCTCCACACTGTCTGATATAATTAGATGCCCTACAAATAATGAATAAATGGGTGAACACACTGGTTTTCCTGGCTGCATGAGAGCTGAAGGGAAAGGCTAACTCGGGGCTCAGACATAGCCCCTGATAAATTCTGGTTTTCAGGACCCCATATATCAAACCGCAGCTCTAACTTCTCTATTCACATTCCAACCAGAGAACTTGAAAATATGCGAAGTGAAAGAGATAAGTGCCTCTAATCTCTGCAACCTTGTTCTGCTTTCTCTCAGACACTGAAGTCAGGAAGGGAAGAGGTATGGCAGGGACTCCAGCCAGTGGCAATTTCTACACTGGAGGAATAACATTTTAATATTGACCCCTTCAGAACTGAACAAAAACTTCTCCAAACTTTAAGGCACCTGTGTATACCATTCCCCCAAGTATCCACAAGGGATTAATATACTGTGTGTATGTATGCATGTCCAAAGATTGAATTATAGAATTTCAAGTTCCTGTTCTTTATTTATCTTGGATGTTGGTGTGGGTTTGTGGGTCCCAGCAGAGACCAGATAAGGGGTCAGATCCCTTGGAGCTGGAGTTACAGACACTTGTAAGCTGCCCATTGTGGATGCTGGGGTCAGATGTGTAGTCCTTTGCAAGAGCAGCCAAGATTTCTTAACTGTCAAGCTCCACTGTATAATATTAGTTTAAGATGTGCTACATTTGTTTGTTTGTGGGATATTTGTTTAATGATGCAAAAAATGTGTTGCAGTCTTTCCTGTTGCATTTGTTTAACTCTGTAAAGATGGGTTACTTTGCCTGCCTAAAACACCTGATTGGTCTAACAAAGAGCTGAATGGCCAATAGCCAGGCAGGAAAGAGAAATGGGTAGGGTAGAGAATAAGTAGGAGAGAAAAGGAGAGAAGGATGCCAAGGACCAACCACTGAGTAAGAAGTAAAGAAAGATATATAAAATAAAAAAAAGGTAAAAAGCCCAGAGGCAAATGTAAAGAAATATGGGATAATTTGTGTTAGAAAAGCTGGCTAGAAACAAGCCAAGCTAGGCCAGGTGTTCATAAGTAAGAATAAGTCTTTGTGTATTTATTTGGGAACTGGATAGTGGGTCTTCAAAGGGGCAAAAACAGCTCCAGAGCCCTCTCTCCAGCCATTCTTCTAGTTTCTAAACTATCAATAAAATACAGAATTTAAAACGATTATCAAGTGTTTATTTGTGCTAAGCGCTGAGTTGGGTTTCCACACATCATCTCGAGTTTACCTCAAGGTAGGCTACACCAGGAGGTAGAATCCTCTTTGTAGATATTCCAAGGTCACACAATGAAACAACAGAACCAAGTAACTAAAGCCGATTCTCTCAGATTCACAGAGCTTGTGTTTTACAAATTTTCTACGGGCCACAGGTGAAGGTCACTCTCTGCAGCTGGCAAGAAATTTGAATAAAATGTGAACTGGGAAAGGCACAGATTGCTTCATTGGGAAGGACATGAAAAAAGTAGAAGGGGAACCCAGGAGGCTGTCCTCAGACCTTGCATTCGGAATTCCTTTAAGGCATGAGGTGATGCCAAAACTCTGTCACTGGACTTACTGTCTCTCTAGTTTGGTTTGATTTCAAGACTCTTGAGCCCACTTTAGTTTTACTACTGTGAAAGCATATGAAAATTAAGGACGATTTTGTCTCTAGGTACATCTTGACCTTCCAAAAACAAATAGTCCTGTTTATGGGGGGGGGGGGCAGTGTATACCAACAAAAATAGTTATCTCTTAAATGAATAAAGTACAAGAAAAAAAAAAACATACCTTTTGCTTTGTGCTTGATTTCAGGCCAACTTGGGAATGGCTTTTCGACTAGAGGGAAAAATGAGAAAGAAGTCCATGAAGAATGCATCATGATTGTAGAATTTATGCAAAGGACATTCCTTCTGGAAGGCAAAAGTTTTGAGTTAAAACTGTTTTCTTAAAACTTTCCATTACAGCTTCCAGAAATCTCAGCAACACAGCCTAGACGCCAGTGCTGGGTGTTTCCCACTAAATGGGAGCCTGTGTAAGCAGAGCAAAGCCTGCACTTGTCAATGCCTTGTTCACAGTTACCAATTCAGCATCTCTTCCTAGAGGACACCACAGAAACCACCAACTACAGCACATGAAGAAATACTCACTGCTAAGATGAGGGAAATAGAAAGAAGAGAGAGGTGAATATCAGCAGAGGCAAGGAGGAAGGCAGAGGAAGGACACAAAGCTCTGAACATTGGAGGAAGAGAAAACAGACACAATGAAGAGACCAGCCAGTGTATGGCCATGTTTCCAAGTACATTTCTAGAGGGCAGACAAACCTCTGCTCCTCAAAAATGTGTTTTCCTTGGATGGAAGCAAAGTTCTGAGGAATATAGGCTTATATTTAGGGGCCTTTTCTTCCAGATTGTTCAAGAGGCTTCATATTGACTGGGGACTAATAAAGAAAAAGCAGACATTAAACTGCAAAAATAATTACTTTCACATAGAATATTACAAGTTAAAAAAGCAAAACTCAAACTTCCTGTATTTAGTATTGAGATAGTAAATATATTTAGGCTTAAGTATATGATGAAATCAGTTAATTCTAAACCAAAGACTACAGCCTAGCTAGAGAAATGTCTTCCTAAGTCAGCAATCTCAATGTGTTTGGACTTGGGTCATAGAGGCCTCCTGTATCTATTTATATTTATTAGTTCCAGCAACTGGGACTGAGAATTTTTTCAATATGTATTTATTAGTTTTAAACATCTATAACAGGACATTATACATTACCTAGTATACATTTACAGATTCTGTGTGCAGATTGAATATTGATGAGAAGGCAATACTTACGTTTTACAAATACTTTTAACATTTGGCATGAATAGAGAGTAACTGGGTTAATATATTTGTTTTTGCACTTAACCTATTTTGTTTGCAGCAGATAAACAAAGTCTTTTCTCACCCAGATATGCAGATGGAAAAAGAAAGTATTTAAAATAATCATTTCAGACAATTGCAGATATCCCTCCTGGTATGAGTGACATTTTTCAGAAGAAAGGAGAGCATCATCCATACATGAGGACCAGAGTGTATCTACAGCCCAGGAGCAAGTCATCCTAATCAAACCAACCCTGCTGGCAGCCTGATATTGGATGTCTGATTTACAGAACTGTCAGAAAATACATTTCTGTTGTTTATGTTATCTGGCATCTTCTATGGCATCTCCAGCAAACTAACAAACAGACCCCAACAAATCTCCCAAGAAGTGCCGCTGAAGTACCATCCTTTCCATCACCAGCCCTGTGCATACTGGAACAGCGAGCTTGGGTCAGCAATGCTTAATCTCCATATTTTTCACAGATATCTTTCAGGGGAGAAGCTAGTCATGCAACCTTCCCAAACCCAAGTCCAGAAATTCCAAATCAAGGCACACTAGTCAACTTTCTATCATTGAAAATGTGTGCTCACCAACCTAACAGGAGGGAAGGGTGATTATGACTCAAGGTTTCAGAGGTTTCAGCTATGGCTGCTTGTCCTCATCACTTTGGGACAAATGCAAAGCAAACATCATAGTGGGGTAGGACAAAGAAGCTGGCCTGCTCATAGTGTGGTTGAGGAAGAGAGAGAGGAGGGAAGATGGCAGAGAGAGGAGGGAGAGGAAGAGAGGAGGGAGGGAAGGAGAGAGAGAGGAGGGAGGGGGAAGAGGAGGGAGGGGGAGATGGAGGGAGGGAAGGAGGTAGGGAGAGGGGGAGAGGACACAGGGAGAGGGAGAGAAGTGGGAGAGAGGAAGCAAGGGAGGGAGAGAGGGAGTGAAAGAGGGAGGGAGGGAGGGAAGGAGAGAGAGAGGGAGGGAAGGAGGGAGGGCGGAAGGAAGAATCACAAAGTACACACTTAAAGTATTCCTGAGACAACCTACATTCTCCAACTGGGCCCCACACCTCATAAAGTTTGTGCTATGTCCCAATAGCTATTAAACTATAAGAATCCATCAGTGGGAGAATCCATTGATAAAGGAACAACCCCCCCTAATTCAATCACTTCCTAGAGGCCTCACCTCTGAACACTGATGTTAGCTACCAAGCCTTCAGCACATGAGTTTTTGAGGGTCATGTAAGGTATCTAAGACGGAGTACAGTATATTATGGCCTTCATCATAATCTTCAAACCACTTGTCTAAGGATGACAGTAGCTGAGAATGACAAATAGGAGCTGATGTTGTCCCCTCCCCTCCACTGTGAAGAACAAATAAATGACCTCTTCTCTCTCCCCAGTAAATACCTATTAGCAGTCCTAATTTGAATGGACCCTGTAGGGGACCAAGGAGAGCTCAAACAGGCTCAAGATTGGCAAATGACTCAAACTCATTGAACACAGACCCGCAATCCTTTCTTAACAATGCCAACCTACACACACAGAAATCCTATTTTTGTTTATTTTCAGACTTTTCATTGTGTTGGGTTATATTAAACACCATAAACCTATGGATAGGATCTTTGTGTACAAGTCAACATCACAATAGTTAACATGACTTCAAGAAAATGTTTTTTATTGATAAAAAGGCTCAAAAGCCAAGCTACTTCTAGGGAAAATTTTTTTTCACTTGACATTAAATGAGTTCTTGGGTCTCCAATGGTAAAGGTCTGATTTAGCTGTAATGATGTTGGGCTTAGTTACAGATCACCTGAGCCACATACATTGGGCTATACAGTCCCCTTGGTGTGATATGGTAGTCTTTGAAAATTTTCTTCCCTGTTACAAATTATAGTTGATTTTTTTCCTATAAGAAGTTTTATAGGCTATACTACAAAGACCCATTTAAAGTCAAATAAAACTGAAATGCTATGAAATTGCCAAAATGTAAACTATCACAATATTAACAAAGTAGAAAATAATAAAATTATCCCAGAAATTATCGTGTTTTTCCATGCATGGGCTCTAACAATAGCATCTATAAAAAGGCATATTTAATTTGAAGAGAATGGAGACTGTGATGGAAACTCAGGCATTCCAAATTTCAAGATAATGGATTTATTACTGATATGTCTGCCACATTTCTCACATGCATGCCTTTGCTTTCCTTATTCAAGGCCATCTGCAAATCATAGTGACTTTCAGCAGCTACAGACAGAATCACTTAAGACTCCTGCGGGAGAAGAGAAACAGCACAAAGCCATGGAGTGGCTTCCCAGGCACACTCACTCCCCAGGCTCCTCACTGGTCACTGACCACCTCCTTCTGTCACCCTGCCTGTCAAAGTTTGGTGTGATGAAACACCATTACCAAAAGCCAATTGGAGAGGAAAGAGTTTATTTGACTTTCACATTGTAGTTCATCATAAAAGGAAGGCAGGGCAGGAACCTGGAGGCAGGAACTGATGCAGAAGTCTTGGAGGAGTGTTGCTTACTGGCTTGTTCCCCCTGGATTGCTCAGCTGCTTTCTTATAGAACCCAGGACCCCCAGACCAGGGATGACACCACCCAAAATGGCCTGGGTCCTCCCCCATAAATCACTCATTTAAAACATGCTCTACAGGCTTGCCTGCAGCCTTATTTTAAGGAGGCATTTTCTCAGTTGAGATCCCCTCCTCTCAGATGACTCTGGACTGTGTCAAATTAACATAAAATTTAGTCAGCACACTGCCTATGCTGAAAAACCATAGAAATGGGGAGGGGGAAAATCAAAAGAAAAAAAATGTGTTTTTCTTGAACAGTTGAGTACAAATTAGAAACGAGGGGACAGGAAAGGAAGATGTTAAACGCATTTACTGCACCATCTGGCAGGAAAGGAAGATGTTAAACATGCTTACTGCCCTGTCCGGCAGACTGCAGTGTGTAACCCTCATCCATGGCTAAGAGGCAAGGTAATTGCGATACCCTGCTGGTTTTATGGATGAGAAGGCCGAAGCGGTAGGCAGCTCAGTAATTTACACAAACCCACACTGCCCAGAAATGCCAGAACCAGATTCCAACCAGCATATCGAACTTAAAGCCCAGGGTCTTAAAACACTGTTGTTTTTCTTTTTTAATTGTTTGCCTTTTAAGCTTTGACTATGCTATTCAGCAACTGGGACCCCAGCGGCTAGGCCGGAAGAGTGGAAGCCTGAGGGAATTCTGTTCCCTCAGGCACTGACTCTTTCAAAGCTTATAAAGAAACTTATTTAAATCTCCATCCCATTAAGAACTCAAGATTCAAAAGCTGAAGCAGAATCCCACTTCCTAGAGAGGCTGAGAAGCAAGCGGCTCACTAAAAGTCCTCATGCTTTCTTGCCTTCCTTAAAAACCCTCCTCTGCCTGGCTCCTCCCTACAACTTCCTGTCAGCTAATTGCTGACCCAGCCTCCTACCACAGGTGAATTTTACTTAATCAAACACATCTTTGCATCATTAAACAAGTGTTCCAGAGCATAAATAAAAGTAACAAATCTTAAGATAATATTCTACAACAATTATCCAAGAAAAGTTGCCCAAGGAATTAGCTGATCCCAGAGAATAAGAAAAGCTATGCTGTGTGAGTAGCGGCCTCAGAGGAAGGAAAGAAAGTGTCAGAGACAATAGATTACAGCCTCACAAACAGACTAGTCCAGTAAGACTTGAATTGGCATCAGTGGCCAGAACTCTGAAATTCAGTTTCCTCTGCAGTGAGTGAATGAATAGCTACAGGAAAAGGAGAGCAGGGTGGCTCGGGATGGAGCAGGTGAAAGGAATCTCACACGTGAACCATGTGCAGCTACAATGTTCCTAAGTCAGGTATGCTAAATTCAAACTTTGCCTAGAAATAATTTCTATGTAGGCTTCAAGACATTTAAATAAAAACAACCCACCTTTTAAGACTGACCCTGAATACATGTACACA